GTTGAACATTTTACATCAATAACAACACATTATCAATTATTATTATTATTTTTTATTTTATCTTATACATCATACATCAGTTGCAAGTCATTTATTTTTTTTGTGAAAGAATACATTTAGATGAAAGTGGTCTTCTATTAGTTTTATTAGTTGAACAATTCCTTCCATTACCATTAAATAAACAATTATTACCTAAATATTTACCATTAATTTTATAAATATTATCAATAACAACATCAATTGATATTATTAAAGAAGATTTTAATAATCTGAATTATCCTATAGATATAACAAGAAAAATTTATGCACAAATGCTTAAAAATATAACTTATAAAAATGATTACCATTAATGATGTCACCGGTATATTTTAGTTTAATTTATCGAAATAAATATATATATGTATAATAAAAATTTTAATTCAATTAAAAGAAATGTTTTTTTTTACTTTGACATTGTTTATGTGCTAGTAATAGATGAGACTTTTGAATAATTCAAAATTTCAAAAAATATTTTGAAATAGAAAATATGCAGAATTTCAGGTAATACAAATCGTAAAGGAAAGCATTTAAGCTACATTAGTACAATGACCGAATAATTCCTCTCGAATCTTATTGATCAAATTCTCAGTCGTGCTATTTGTACTATTACAATTAAAGAAAACGACGTCTTTCTAATATTATATTTCGAAATAAATTGCATTCGAGAATTTCGATAAACTCTCTATAAGTTTGAACTCGTGAACTCTGAAAACGTATTGAATTTTTTCCACAGCATTAAATTTTTAGGATGATTCTTATAGTAAATGAAAATTGATTTGAGAAAATACGAAACAATATAAATCTGTTCTTTGTTTGTTTTCCTAGAATTTTGTATAGTTATATCAAATGAAACAAATTAAAATGATATTGAAACAACACCTAATACAATTTATGAAAAAAGTCTTTTATCATGCTTCTAATAATCAACCATATTCAATTGCATTCATAGATTCTATATCAATATATTTTGATACAATACGAAATCATGTTGAATTGACATGTCAATTTTCAACAGGTGATATACATAATTTATTACGTTTTATAATATTTATATCAGAAATAATTTATATAAATATATTTCAAAAAAAAAACATCATTTCTTAGTTGTGAAACAGATCAAATAATATCATGTTGTACATTATCGAAAATACTATTATCAATATTTGAATATATTTATCAACGACATGGTTTAACTATATCAAATATATTATAATCATATTTTAATTTAATTGAACCAGATAAAAGATCATCTTTATTAGTGAACAAGAAAAATTATATATATCATATATTTATTGACATGATTTATATTGTATAGCTATATTATTATTTTGTTTACCAATATTTATATAAAGACAATTTTGAAGTTGGTTGATTATTAAGAATACAATTTCAAGAAATATAGGCTTCATTTTTAGCTTCAATTAATTCACCACAAATCAATCTAATGATGAAAATAAACAAACGACAAATAATTATAAAAGAAATAGAAGAAACTTTAGAAACAAATGCAACACAATGGTAACAAGATTGAAAAATAAACTAGATTTTATCTGTTTTGTTTTTTTATCGGTGGTCAATATATGCAAACACGTCCAACATTAGATACAAGTTCAAATAATTTATTTACAAATATTGAACGGTTAGGTACACGTGATTTATTATCCTATGGACAACTTTCAAATGATACTATATTAACATCAATCCAAAGCAATAATACATTACCATTATCAGTTAATGTAAGTCTCACATATGTTTTAATAATCGACAAATAGAACTCTAAGTTAAAAGAAAGATAAATTCATTGCTAAATTACTCATTTCAACAAACAGAAAATCTAGTGTTTCTCTGACTTTGATTTGATATATAATACATGCAAACTATCTTATTTCATAGAGATAAAAGCTTATATCAATAATTTCAAATATATTCTATCAATCAAAAAATTAGATTATGAACATTTTCTTTTCTGGCATCCATCTTTAAAAATATATAATTTAGAGTTTATTTGAT